GCACCTTGGGCCAGAGCCCCAAGATGAACAAGGTCTGAATGGCCAGGCCCTTACTGGCAGTGTCCGTGGGGACAAGTTCTGAGCCAGAGTCCTTGGGCCACACACTCATAACAGCATGAGGGGAGGGGACCCTGCTCTAGGCCACCAGCTCCAGGCCAGCTCCCTAGGAAAGGTCCTCACAGGTGCAGGGACCCCAGCCAGGGCCTCCCAAGGACTATGTGACATTTGCTCAGCCCAGTGGGAGACCACAGTTCCTCATGGTGCTGTTACCCTCCGGTCATCCTGCCCGGCTGCGTGGACGCCTGGCCCGCAGTGTTCAGCCTGCGGCTGGCCAGCCTATTCAGTGAGAGCTGTTACAGCAGGAAAGCCCAGGGGCCCTGAAACTGCTAAAGCAAGCCCACTGTGTCTGGAGTGGTGAGAGACCAGGCCTGAGTGCAGGAACCTAAAGGCAGAGCCCAGAGTGCCAAGAGCAGGAGCCAGGAGCTGTGAGTGGGGCCACTCTGAGATTGGGAAGCTTGGAAGGAGGGGCCCTGCCTGAGCCTTAATTCACCCTTCTGTTCTCACGAAGCGGGGGGTGACAGTGGCTCACAGTGGCCTGACTGCGGGTGTGACATAGGGCTCCAGTTCAGTGCCGCTCTGAAAATATTAACACGCAGCTTCACTCAGATGAAAGCCAACGGTCTCCCCTTTCCTTCCTGCACTGCAGTGCCAGTCGTCCTCCTCCCCACTACTCTGGACCCATTGGTAAAGTTATTTCTCCCTGCATTAAACACAGGACTGCCTCGCGCCCTGGGGCCTCAGCCCAGCTCTTGATCCCACAAGTCCTGGAGTGTTCTCAGCCACTCTCCTCTCCAGGATGCAGCCTGCAGAGTCCTGACTTGACTCCCTTGCTCTGCCTGCTGCTGCCTCAGCCGTCCGACCTGCTCATGAACTTGTCTGTGATATTCACTCCAGTCGCCTGTGTTCCTCATGTCTAAACCTTCTATTTGTTCCAATGCCATGTGAGCCTTTTTTTTTTTTTTTTTCCAGGGATTGAACTCAGGACCTTGCACTTGTGAGGCAGGCGCATTGTCACTGAGCTAAATCCCTGGCCCGAGCATTTTCATACTGTCTTACTCTTTGCTTGCCTTACAGTTTAGTCTGTTTTTAAATCACTTGACACCCAGCACACCTCGTTCTGGAGAGTCTCACCACGTGGGACCTTGCAGGCCTCACCTCTGCCAACACTGCAGACAGCTGGTTTCTGGTGCCTTCAGTCACCAGCAGGTGCACACATGGTGGCTGCTGTCTGTGCCGGAATCCTGAGATGTCACGTCAGCTACAACTACACGTTCCTCCGGCAGGAACACAACGGAGGTTTCCCAGGCCAAAGTCCCTCCGACGGCTCAGGCAGGACCCGCTCCTTCGGTCCCTGTGCCAGGACTGCCCCGCTGCCGTCCTAGCTTGACAGGGTCACACCCTTACACTCAGGCCCTGTCCCAGCTGGTGGAGCTCCGGGCTTGCCACACCTCTGCAACCACCCACAAATGCTGAGCCCTCTCCCAGCCGCTGACATCCCACACAACCCCCAAACCCTGGGGACTTCCTCCACTTCCTCATGTGTGCATCTTTGTACATAAAGAAAAAATATTCATGTCTTCTCCCCAGCACATTTGAAGTCTGGTCCTAGAGGAGCTTCTTAGTGAGTGTCGCTTACTTCTCTGCATCATGCCCAACTCTAACACCAACGCTACTCTGTCAGATGTTTTGGGCGAAAAAACACTCATGCTGTCGCGGGTTAATGGCTGGAAGACGTCGAGCTTAGAAGGAATCCCTAGTCAGCACAACAGGGGCACCCACTGCCCAGGGCACCCTGCTGTCTGCTTCAAGGGGAGGTGAGCACTGGGTAGACAGAGCCATGCAGGCTGCCACCGCTGCACACAATGACTTCTGCTGAGGACAGAGACGCCCTGCCCCCGTGACTGACATGCTATTAGCCCTGCCTGCCCTGCCAGGTGTGCCGCAGTGCATGGTGGACTGCTGCTGAGTGTAGCGGACAGGTGCAGGGCACACTCGTGCTGATACCAAGTCGCCTGGAGGAGAAGTTACAAGTGTAAGAACAAGTAACACGAAGATGCTCGGTGAGGAGGACCCACGACTGCCACCGCAGAACTGGGGTGCATCCTCTCCCAATCTCCTGGGAAACGGCAGCCCCTGCTGCATACTCAGACCCTGAGCCTCTGCCGTGGGCCCTCCTCCCACTCAGTCTTCGTTCACGCAGTCCTGGAACGGGTTGTGAACACATGAACCTGCTATTCTGACCAGCGCATCACTCCTGAATGCTGTGAGCTATGTTACAAAACACTGGGGTACAAGAATGGTAAACTTTCCTTTAAAGGACTTTATTTCTCTATTTTTATATGGACCACTTATTAAATTAGAAGGCTGAAAAGTAGAAATGTATTTTACAGTCAAAGAAAAACCTATATGTGGATCCCCCCCCTCTGGACATAACCACCAGGAACAATAAAGGTCTGTGAATCACTCCCACCAACACCCATCTCATGTAGATCAGCAAATGCCAAGTGTCGCTAAGAGGAAGAGGCAGCCTGGAGGGGGAAGGCAGAACAAAACCCCACAAAGTATTCTCTCATCTTGGACGTGCTCATCGCACACAGGGCACGACAAACTGGAGGCCACAGGGGCTCTGACCCCATCCAGCATCAGAAGAAAGCAGTCCAGGCCCTGTCCTGACACCTGCCCCAGGGTGTTCCTACTGTCCATCCCTGTGGCTTTGCCAGCAGCCCGAATTTGTAGGCAGAGGGGTAGGAGCAGCAGCAAGACCCAGAAAGGCTCCAGCCCCCATCTATGTCCACCCCGATCCACTGTGGCCTTTGTTATGAGCTGGGGACAAACCCCTCTTTCCGATGGTGACCACCTTCCACCCAAAATGGACACAGGATGATGGTGGGTGGGATGAATCCTGCTGATGCTCAGGCTCCCAGCAGCTACTGAAGCCTTGCCCCTCCCATTGTAATAGACAGGCTGCAGCAAGACAAGCTTGAAACAGGAAGCAGCACACAACAAAGGGACGAAGGATCTGATTTGACTGAAGGCCTTATAAAATGTGATCTATTAAAAAAATAAAGTGTTCAGGAAAAAGGAAAGAGATCGCAGTATGTTCAGACTCATCCGCAAACTATGGCTCTCCAACGTGAACACTGCCTCCATGGGCCACAGCAGCTGCTCCAGGCGCAGCCTCCTCCAGGACACACTCGCAGAACCATGCGCGAGCGGGGTGGCAGTGCTGGCACCTCAGCAACATTAAGGCAGAGGCCAGGCACTCACAGCCTTACCTGGGCCTGGGAGCAGGCACTGAGGCTTGTGCCGTCCTGGGCCAAGTCTGCTGATGGCACTAACAGAACCCCCATGGGGAACGTCCCACCATTCTGCCAACATGCCTGTTTCCAAGGGCAAGGCCTGCTACAGGCACGAGGCCACACAGCAGTGTGGAATGAAACCTTCCAGCGCTGGCTTGTTCAAGTGAGTGGTCAGCTCTACTTAACAAACATCGGTGTCTTTCTTCTCTATCGTGAGATTAAATGCCTTAACGACCCACAACTAAAGAAATCCAGTGCCACCATCCCACCTGAACCGCCACCTCATTCTTCAGTTTACAAAAATAAATATTTATGAATATATTTGACAAAAAGCACCCCCAATCAGTGGTAGAAAGCAATATTTTGTAGCTGACATTAAATTTAACCTTTTTAGACAAGGGGGGAAAGACTATAACTTAAGCACTAACTTCCTCAATCTGAATCATTCAAAGAAGCCCACACTGTCAGAACTGACCACTGTGCCTGTGTCAGTAGGCTCTTATATCAGAGGCTGGGTACAAACACTGATGAGAAGAAAAGCACCTGCAACTCAACATGGAACTGCACATCGAGACGTGCAAGGGTGCACAGGCTCCCAATGGTGTGCATCCGACACAAAATGCGTCACTTCAAGGGGCCCCGCAGGTTCCGAGTCTTACCTGTACACAGCATTGCCCATCTGCCCCCAATCTACGGATGTACCCAAGAGGCGACAGCAGCAACCAGCCAGCCAGGTGCGGGCAGCTCAGCCTCAGAAAGGTTTCCAACACTAACATCCACAGGGTTTCTGTTCAGCCCCCCAACTGGACAGCACTGGCGCACAGATGTAAACACAGTGTCACCTTGAGGCCCTCAGGAAGAGAAGCTGGGACAAGGCCTGCAGAGCCGCACGGTCAGCAGGGCAGCCAGGGCAAGGCAGAGCCTGGCCAACCACTGAGCCAGGAGAACCAGGCAAGAACCCACGCTTTAAGGCGCATGGGGAGGAATGTGAACGCTCAGCTTGAGATCTCTGACGCGACCATAAGCCAGTGCACATGGATCTGTGTGCTGTGAGCCACGAGGTCCACCCCAAACAGACCGAGTGACTCTGTGCCACTCAGCAGCTTCTAATACCCTGGCAGAGGCAGCGGCTTTCTACAAGACAGTGTGAGAAAAGAGACGCGCATCCCCAGCCACTGGTGCGTGGGTCTGTGCAGTGACGCAGCTGCACCACCATCATCCAACCCGAGACAAGAAGGCAGCCGTCCCACCCCAGCGCTGGTCAGTGGGCTGCTGCGAGCTGAGACCACATGCATCCCGAGGACAGGGGAGAGAGTGCGGGGGTCTGAGGAAGAGGGTGCAGGTGGTGATTCATGGGGATCTTGTTGAGACGATGACCCCGGAGAGCCCAGGGTGGCAAGTCCGAGGGAAATGGGCAAGTCTAGGACTCCTCGCCCATCTGCAGCAGGGAGTTGATGGCAGCATCCTTGTTTCCTCTCTGGGCTTCCAGCACGGAGCGGATCACCTCCTTGTCCATGTTGGGGAACATGTCCTGGATGGCCTTCAGATCCTCCTCTGTACAGCGGGGCTGTGTGGACACAGCTGGAGGGGGCAATGCCACAGGCACCATGCCAGGGCTGCAGACAGCAGGCATTCCTGGGAACAAGAGGAACTTTGGTGAAAATATCAGACACGAAGAGCAGGCTGGCTCGAGCTGCAGGAAGGAATGGCACTTTCTAGCCTCCTCAAGGAGAGAGGCCATCCCAAGCTTTACGAGAAGGAACCCTGCAGGGACACGAAGCTGGCAGCCTCCAAAAGCCCACCACAGGCAGGTGAGGCTGGGCTCCTGCTGTGTGATGCCCTCTCCGGATGCCTTTCTCCATCCCAAATGCAAGTCAGGTCTTTCAAACCTCACTTGAGCCTATTTCACAATCACAGGGAAGAGGTGACAGAGTGAAGGCAGAGTTCACAGAGGGGCCTCGCAGGTTGGGCCTGCGGAACGTATAAACTGCTTAGACTGGAAGACAGGTTGGGGACAGGAAGTGCTGGTGACACCGAGTGGCCACACTCGGAATTGCCACGCACATCCTCTCCGAAGGGCTATACGGGCTGACAATGCCCTTACTTCTTTAAACTTTAAAGCATGAACATCCTCTGGACTAGGCCCACCGGACTGTGAGGCAGAGCCATCGGTTGGGAAATCACTACATTCAGAAGATCGGAAATGAGGCTGAATGCAGTCTCCAACATCAGATGAACCAAGGCGACTGCCCCAGAAGAAAGTGCAGAAAGCCAACATCTCCTGCCCTCCAGGCCCAGCCCCCGCCAAACACTTTCCTGTGCCCCTAACACCTATCCACCCTCAGACAGGCTGTCGCCACACTTCACAGGCGCAGACTGTGGCACTATCAAGGACAAGGGAAACCATGGCAGGGTCAGGTGAGAACAGGCCACTGTCCCACTGTTACAGAGGACAACAGTCCAGGTGCTGCCTGCCTGGGACCTAGGCAGCCTCACACACAGATGTGGTGCTGTGTCCACACCAATACACCAGAAAACACGTGCCAATGCAGCCAGGCTTCTCCCCTCCCAGTATTTGCCAGCCTGGGCAGGTGTTACAGCTTTTATCTAGATGTCCCCGTCGGGAGCAATTCTACAAAATTCTGGGGGAAAATCATTTGATTAGGCCTAGTTCTCCTACCTTCAGGCCAGCTATGGCATCTCGAGACATAACCCCACTTTGGCCTCCGATCACAGCTTCATCTTCAACACACAAGTGATTCGTCCCCAGGCATGACCCAGTCATACAGTGTCTCCATGGTGTCCTCCCCCAGCTCACCGTCTCCAGCTCTTACCATCAAAGCAGGATAGTGGCATTCTCACAGTACTTAAGGAGCCAGGCGACTGGAAAGGCAGAGGGTATCATTCGGTTTTGGAACGCAAAATTAAGGGTGTCCTGATTTCCTCAGAAAAGTCTCTACCCGGGGACCTGACGCAATCATTACCTGACCCCTCGAGTACCAGGTCCCAGGACCCTCCCTCCCACAGGAGCACACAGAACAAGATCATCCTTTTACTGGATTCAGATGAAGAGCTGGAGCTAGAACAGACCAAAACAAAGTTGGTTTCTAATGGTCCTTCAGCAGAAGGAATGTTCCAGAAGTCAGCCACAAGTCCTCGGTTTTCAGTCACTGATGTTGATGCAGATCAAGAGCATTCTCAGAGCCCCCCAGGGAGGGGCTCAGCTGCAGCTCAAGAGTGGGGAGGGTCAGTTAGAGAATCAGAATGCTGTGGATGGCACACGGGCCTCTGGGCTGAGAGCAGCCTCAAGAGGACAATACCACAGATGCCTCCTGGCCGGTGCCCATGACCCCAGTAGCAAGCAGGAGTCAGGACTGCTCATCACAGAACCAGATCACAAGCTTCAGGACTAGGCCTCCAGGGGATAATGGTGCTGCCCTCATCCAGGTCCACCCCGGAAAATAGCACAATGTTGGAGGCCACACAGAAGTTCTGTCATCACACCTCCAACGTCACCCGTGCCTCTAGGAACTTCTGGGAGTGGAAGGCAGGTCCACAGGAGCCCTTCCTGTTCCCAAGCCAGGTGCCACAAGCTCTCTTCCTCATGGGCCATGGCAGGAGGCCTCCCTCATTTCACTGGGCCAGTTCAGAAACTCTCACCAAATCAGGCAGCAGTGAGTCAGGTGGTGGAAGTTGGGGACAGTGAAGATGAGGAGCCATCTGCACAACAGGTAAACAAAAGCCCCCTACTGGACAGTGAGCCCCCAATCCCTGTGGAGGACTGTTGGAATGCTGAGTCCCTCTCGCCAATTCCAACTGACCACCTGAACCTCGAGCGCATGGGCCCCCTGAGCCCCAGCAGCCCCAGAAGTCAGGCCCAGGAGCCTCTGGACAGTGGTGACTGCCACTCCCCTGGACTCCTGGGCAGCACCCCATCCGAGCAAGTGACACAGCCCGAACAGCGTCTCTAGAGCAGCTAAGCCACCTTAAATAGAAACATTTCTACCTTATAAACAGTGTGTGCAGTTTAGCTTCAAATGCACTGGCTGTGAATTCTCCTTGCAAGGGACATGGTGACACGCTGCTCACGGAGGCACCAAAGTGGTTTTGATGTTGGCCATTTACATGCATGGAAGCTGTGACAACTTGGCCTGTTCTGCGCTCCTTCCTGACCCATACCGGGACAGGGAGGGCACCGAGTGGATGCATCCTTAGCTTTGTGTTCATGGCTTCTCAGGGCACTCACTTCCTCCTTCAGCACTGCACACACCCAAGGGAGCTGTGATACCAGCTCTGTGGAGCCGTGGGCCAGGGCAGGCACTCAGGGCATGCGGAGAAAGGGAGGTGGGGGAGGGCACAGGCAGAAACATTCACGTGTGGCCACAGCAGGAGCTACAGTCCCCAGCAAGCGGGAGGATCTGAGTTCAGCTGGAGTTTTTATCAGAGACCCTGCTGGGCAGGCAGTGGGAATCAACCTTTAATCAATTCTCTCCGCGCTGTGTGAAAAAAAGAAGCAACATAGCAGCCCAGAGAATTAGGAAAATCAGACAAGGTCATTTTCCCCTAAACAGACTGTGTGGTGGGCGCTGCCTGCCCTCTCTGCCTGACCGTGATGCAATGTCACCGCTCCTGGCAGGCACACAGACCCGCCCCACACTTACGGCCTGACCCCTCGGCCCACGGCTTTGCCCAGGCCACCAGCAGAAGCAGAGCATAACAACCCCCCTCCTCCAGGACATTTAGAAACCCAGCAGCAGACCAAGGTCCACTAAGCTATTCCCCTGTTCACCACGAGAACAACACAGTCCAAGTAGTTACACACCTTTCCATGCACCGCAGCCATTTTTCCCGTCAGGGTCAAGCCCCTCCCCGAACCATGTGATGCCTATTAGCTGCCTATCCCAGATTTGATGAAAACTCACTCACCTGGCAATCCAAACGTGGGGGCGGGGGAAAGAAGCTGCCAGGCAAGGTGGTGTGCAGCTATAATGCCATCACTCTGGGGGGGCTGAGGTAGGAAGACCGCAAGTATGAGCCCAGCTCAGGCAACCCTGTCTCAAATTTTAAAAAGGTCTGGGGATGCAGCTCTGTTGCAAATGCCCTGAGTTCAATCCCCAGTACCACAACAGCAAACATAACCCGGGCTGTGACTGACAGCAGGAAAACTCTGACTTCTAAGGACCCATTCTCCCCGCAGCCTCACTCTGTGGGGTGATGGCCACAGCTCAGGGAAAACAGAAAGGGCAGGGTCTGGGAGGAGCTACTGGCTCTCCCAGGCTCCTAGCCTCCAAGTCATAGGCATGCGGGCTTCTGACTGGAAAACACTGCTGCAGCAGCAGCCACGATCCCCAGTCCAGACACCCTCGGGCAATGACAGCGACCCTTTTAGAGCTTTCAATGATCCAAACAACTAGCTGAGGCACTCGTGCCATAGGGTCGCCTCCACTGCCCTAGGGCTTCCGGGACAGGGCTCCCCAAATATCAAGGTGGCCAGTGCCAATGAGGTGCAAGCTACTGCCCACAAATGGGCAGGTGTGGATGGGGACTCAACCTCTCTGTGCCTGCCCTCAGCCTGTGGTACTGGCCTCATCGTCACTGGCCCAGGCAGGTCACTGTGCACCAGGCCCCAGAGTCAAGGGCCTGAGGCCTCCACTGCAGAGCAGACTGAAACACAAAGTGTGTGAACTCACATGAAGTTTACGCTTTGGACTTTTGGTGCTCTGGAAGGACAGTGCTGCCACTGCAAATACTCAGGACTTGCATGACTCAGGGAGAATTGGTCTGACTTTCAAGGAAGCCTCTAAACACTACTAAGATCACTAAACAATAGTGCAGAGGCTTCTAGAAGTCAATCTCCACTAACTACAAGGAGTCAGGGTACTGGAAGAAGCTGCCGAGTCCAGGGCAGAAGCAGGAAATGCACCATGAGATGGAGGCTTCCTGTGGTGCCAGTCTAGAAGTACTGTACTCAATGGACGTGGGACAGGCCAAAGGGACAGCAAGGCCCCCGCCCCGAAGTACTTCCTCTGGGAGATAAGATGAATAATAAAGTAACATATAGCCCAGGGAACTAAACAAACTGTGAGCCCATGCAGAGACACCTACAGTGGATAACTCAGTCTGTGAGAGACAGGAAAAACCTCATGTGGACACCAAGGAAATGCTCAGAGATGAGCCACCACCATGCAGTCACTGTCTCATGGCACACAAATGTGAGCAGTCAAGGGCAGGGACAAAAGCGGGCAGTTTTCTTGGGCAGCAGCCAGGTCAGCACCAGGACGGTGGAAAGGGTGCAGCCACTTGGACAGATGGACCTGGGGCCAGGCCTAGCCTGCACCCTCACAAGACAGAGGCCACTGGCCACCGGGAACACATGAATGAACACGCATGCGCTGCAATGAGGAGTGTCCTCGCTGACAGGGGACACAGTCTCCCAAGGTTCTGACAGAAAAGTCTTTGGCTCTCTACTGTGACTGTTCCTCAAGTAGGAGACTTTCAAGATTTTAAAATGTATATCAAAAGAAATGTTCAAATTCTGTTTATAAAGAAACCCAGCCTTTCCTCAAATAAGCATCATAGGACAAACTTTAAAGACTTTTACAGAGAATGAAAGACAGGATCCAGAAAAAGATAAACAGGTCAGAAACTTTCATCTCTTTAGATGCCAACTTTTGTTGAACCAAACACACTCTGGTGTTGCTAACTGAAGGGGACAGGATGTGTCCTGCACGGGTGTGTCAGGCCTTGAGCCCATGCAAGCTGCAGTGTCTCTGCAGATACACCAAGCTGCGATGAGGCTGTGATGGAGTGGGGTGGCCCCCGTGCAATGACGGAAGGACAGGGACTGGGAGAGGGAAGGTGGCTGTGTGAAGACCGAGGCACAGGCTGGGTGAGGGAGCCGCAAACCAAGACACACCTAGAGCCCCACGTGGGAGCTGGAGGTACAGGACGCAGGAGGAGCAGCAGAGCCTCTGGAGGGAATGCAGCCCCGCCACTCCTGCTTTGGACATTTGGCCTCAAGAACTGGGGAGAGCAGACACACGTTCTGCAGTTTCTTTCCCGCCTGCTCATCCATCTTACTCGGGGACCTGTCACTGAGCCTGATAGTTGGCCCTTACTGGGTCTCTGCAGTGCTCACCTCCCTGCTCTAGCTCTGCTCTCCCTTTGCTGAGGGTCTCTCCCTGAGCTCTGAACGAGTGCTGCGTAAGGTTTGGGGTCACCCTGTTAACTGGGTGGTTTCCTACCACACTCAACCCCACAGGGTCTCCCACTCCCCTTCTCTGTAAGCGATGCCCTTTGTTCCTGCAAGCAGCTTTGGTTCAGCAGAAACCTCCAAATGCATGCACAGCCAGAGTGCCCAAGTGCCACCCCTCCGGATTCAGGCAGGACTAAGGCCAGGTCTGACTCCTAGGCCTCTCTGTGCCCCAGCTGGATGCTGGTATGACTGGGGGCATTGACAAGCCTCTCCATTCCGGCTGCGGGACCCTAGATGATCCATACTACTCATCAGCAGTCAGAGGCCACAGGGTCCAGGACCACGCCCCCCCATCCCAGCCAGTCCTGCTGCCCTGGACTCTAGCTTTGTCCCTTCCTGGACTGTGCCAGGGAACAGGTGGCTGCAGGCGGCCCTGGCATCTCCACTCTTGAGACTACAGTGTCCCCCGTCTGCTGGGTTACACCTGGAAACGATACCTGGCCAGTGGTATGGCTTCAAGGTGCCACCCCAGCCACAGGTGAAGTAACCAAGAGGTTAACATGAAGATCTGGTGATGCAAAGACATGAAAAGCTGTGTTCTAACATGATGGCATGTGCTGCCCCAAATGGCTCCTTCATGCAGGTACATGGTCTGGCAGAAAATTGTGATACTAAAAGCCATGGCGGGCTCTACCAACAGGACCTCAGTCTTCTAATGCATGGACTCACACACACAAATGTTCAGTGTTCCATGTCTCCACGAATTTCACTCTCCTTGTACGTGCCAACAACGACGGAACAGATTTTGGTTTCTACATGCCGGGAAGTTCACCAATAACCCTGGACTCTGCTTTTAAAAGGATCTTCGTGCCAGGTCCACCCTTGCCCGAGCCCCACTCTGCCCCAGGCCTTCTGCCAAAGAAGAAGCAGCAACACACCTGCAATGGGCACGTAGCCAACACCCTGCTGGTACACAGTTGGCATCAGGACCACAGGCTGGGGCGGCATCATCATGGCAGCGGGCAGCGACTAAAACACACCAAGACAATCGTGGGTTATAATCTTACCTCCAGACTCGCCAAAAGGGCCCTGAGAGCATGGAGCCCCAGGATTCATGTCTGCCTCACCAACACCCCAACACCACCTCTCCGGCTGGCAGAACAGAGGACGATGCCTGGGTGCTGTGGGGACACCTCCAAGTCTGGTGCCTGAGAGAAACATCAGCTTCCACAACAGCCCAGGGGTCAGCTCACAAAGCTCTAGACACAGATGGATTAGCTACATGTGACTGTGCTCTGTGCCATGTGCTAAGACAAGTGCGTGCTTGTGCTAAGGGAGATGAGTCTTCAGGAGGCTGTCGCTGCAGAGGGGGCCGTCCACACACAGGGTTGACCACAGTCCCCCATGGCTGGAAGCGTTCCCTAATAAGAAGTTAAAGTAACAGCAGAGAAAAGGTGATGCACAAAACCCAGCAAGCTTGGTGGAGTAGTGCATACTGGAAATCCTGGCTACCTGGGAAGATGAGGCAGGGGATCACAAGTTCAAGGCTATCGTGGGCAACTGAGTGGGATCCTGTCTCTAAATAATATTAAAAAGGGCTGGAGATGTAGCCTAGTGCCTGCCTGACACCATAAGAGAGACTCCCAACCTGCCTGTCTTGTGACCTTCCTGAAGGTCCCAGGAGCTGCCCCGCTCTGAGGATGGAGACCAGTGGGAGATGGGGATCTGACACAACAGGTGACTGCCAAGCAGAGCTGGGCCTCTGCTCCGTGACCCCACATTGCCCTGGGTCCCCACTGAGATGCTGCACCACTCATGGCCAGCCACTGTCTCCTGGAGAAGGCCCAGGTTGACCACCCCAGGGCTGCTCCAGCCCGGTGCTCACCGTGTAGGACATGACCAGGTTGATCATGCCCTCCTTGTCGTCACCCTGCCTCCCGCTCAAGCTGTACCACTCGTCCTCCACCTGGCCCTGTTTCAGGGCTTCAGGGATCGTGATGTGAGTCCAGGCGATGCGGTCATCCATGGAGAAGGCTCGCTGAGGAGGGTGAGAGAGGCAGATGCATCATAGCACAGAGGCAGGCACTTCCCCTGTGGCTATGGTGATGGACCTCTCCTGTGAGGAGCCCAGCCCCCCTAACGGTGCCCACTCCACCAAGGCTCTGGTCCACCCCTCTGCCCCTGCTGCTGAGTCACCACCTGCCACAGCCCAGAATTGGGATGAAAGGCAGAACCTCTAGGACTGCTGCTCGACCCTTCAAGACCCAAGCATGGCAGGTAGGCACAAGAGGGAAGGAGGCACACAATGAGCTGCCATCTGCAGCCTCGATCTCCTTCCCACAAGCTTTTCCTTCCCGAGGACGACCCCAGATGCACAGGGGGAAAATGGACAGGAGAAGGCAGAGGCCAGTGGTGAGGAGACCTCATCCTTCCCACTCTCAGCCTTGCTGTGCCTGGCCCTGGCCTCAGGAAGTACCTGGTGCCCACAATCAAGTTTTGTGGGACCGCCCTCAGCCTCCAGGCTCCCACCTGGCCATGAAACCAGTAGCATGCAGGCTGCTGTGTGCCTGTTATGTACACTAGCGAGAACAATATTCCCATGACATCCTTGAAACTCAGCCGAGAGTGAGCAAACACTACCTACTTCATCTAGAGTGCCCAGCATTGTGTCACTGCTGATGTTTCTGAGGGGATACTGCACCCTGTCACCCAGCCACTAAAACAGTGGTTATCTGGGAGGCCTGAGATGACATGGTACATCACACCTTGCCCCACATGAACCACATGCAGCCTTGAGGCAAAGGCTCTTCTTACCTCATCGAAGATCTCCAGGTAGAACGAATCCACACCTGGGGGCACTGTGCACTGAATGACTTTGTTCCATCGAGGGTTCTTGGCACCGTTGTGAGCTGTGGGCGTCTCATACACGGCATAGCCCAGGCGCAGGCGGCAGTAGGGGTCCATACGTGTCATTCCATAGTTCTTTGCCAGCTTTGCCTGAAATAAAGCCAAGTTCAGAAAGATGCAGTGCTCACCAGAAGAAAAGGCAGGTGCTTCTCTAAGCTGCCAGCCTCCTCTAATTGTTCACTACCACATTTCCTGGGCCAAGAACTTCAGTCATGCAAAGTCATCTGAACAAGGCACTACTTGCTTCCCAGGACACCAGGAGCAACAGGTAACTCCAACTCTGCTGAAAGCTCTGAGGCCACACCTGACAATACACAGCTGAGCTGAGGGGAGGCAGAAGGGAGGATGCCCCAGGGTTGAGCCACCCCAGAGCCCTAGTATCTGGAGGCCTCTGCTCCAGCTTTCAGCCTCTCCTACAGATCTCCTGGCACACTGCCCTTCAGTAGTAGGAGTGTCAGCAGCAGCTCACAGGGACAGAGTACCATCTATCCATGCCCCAGGTCTCTAAACCCCAAGACTCAGACTCCAAACCAGATAGCCACTTGTGAATTGTGTCACAGGAACCCTTGTAAATGAGGTGAAGATATAGCAGACAAAACTACTGCTCAGCACATAGCAACTCAGAGTGAATTTGAAATAAGATATCTGATGTCACTGGCCACCAGAGATGTAAATCACAACTCCAAGTGAGACTCCTACATACTTATCAGAATGGCCACAATGAAACAACATGACACCTGATCAAACCAGGTGCAGCAACATGGAGCCACTGGGGCCCTTAGGCATGTGGGCAGCAGTGTAGCTCTTGGGCCATCCCCTGCTCTGATGTGAGCCTCTCCCTCGAATCCATAACATCATGATCTTCACTCGCCTTGCCTAAGTGTCCTTTCCTGAGTGTCTGATACTGGACTGTGACTCATCACCTGATGGAACCTCCCTCCAGGGACCACTAACAGAGCCCTAGTCCTCCTTTCCTTACACTATGTATACCATCTGCAAAGCCTTCTGGGTCTCCCTTCATGCATGCAGCCAGATTGCCCTAGCCACATTCCAGTACAGGTGTGTGTGTGTGAGAGAGACAGTGTCTGCGCCAAATGATAGGACATGGGGGGCAAGAAATGGGATGAAGCCCTTTGACCCAGCACGACAGAGAAGCCTGGGCACCAACACAGTGGTGTTCATCCCCCCTTCCGCGAACGAGAAAAAGAAGGCCTCTCTGAGGCTCCTAGATGAAATTGAAGCCCCACTGGAAAAGTGAACACAACCTGTGATAAAGGCACACCACACCATTGTAGCTGGTAAGTCGGAACGACCAGAACCTCACATCGGAACCTGGTCTAACTTCAGGGGAAGGACAGCTGTAACCTGCAGTAGAACCTTGCAGAGTTCAACCCAGCAGGAGTACAGAGATCTCAATTTGGGCCTTGCAGCCAGAAATCAGCCTGAACCTCAGGGGACAGCTGCTGGGACTAATTAGCTTAGACCTGCACACTCCTGTCCACACTGTCTATTGCATCAACAGAGGCACACCCTGAAGGAGGCCCTCTATTTCTACTTATATGTTTTATTTTCAAGGTAATATGTTTCACTTATCTTCAGTCATTTAAAAATGTTTTTATCTAGCTTTTGCTTTTCTTAATTTTTTCTCCTTTAACTTCTTTCTTTTTATCTTCCTTTCTTTCTCTCTCCCACCTTGACCTCCATTACTCTCCCTTTTTGCTCCCCATTCCTATCCTAATTCAAATTTATTTTATTTCTTTTTCCTTTCATCTCTTTTTCCTTCTCTCAATGCCATGAGTTTTAAAAGAAAGTGATTACAGTCTCTAGCCACCCTATTGCTGTTAGTTTGTTCTGTTCTTGGGACTATTTTGTCCTGTCTTCTCCTCTTCTCTTCAACAGATCCCTAGAGTTCGAGTGATTTTCCTGTATCCTCTGACCTCACTTCTAACCTTTCTCTATTCTATCTATCCCTCCCTCCCCAACTCCTTCTAAATATCCATCCTGAAGAGTAAAGTTGCTAAACTAAGAGTTTATTCACTATAAACATATTTTGGGCTGGTCCTCCATTTTGATTTCACTCACATGGTTAAAAGTGATACATTAATAACTACCACAAATTGTCATTTTCTAAGTTGTGCTTGATCTAATCAGTTGTCCTCCCTGGTATAATGAATATGAGTTTGCCTCACAGACGTTACAGACTCAAAACCTAACGACCAGCTATATCTGGAAGATTGAAGTATTAACCCAGGAATTAAACCAAGGACAGTACCAACAGCAAAAATAGAAATGAGAAGGCATTTGAACAAGACACCAACACAGACTTCCACCCCACCAAAGGTAAGCTCTTGGGGAAGTGAGGTGGAAAAGTCTGACAGTCAACCATTTGGACACCCTGAACTGATAGCATAGGAAGTAAAATAGCAGATAAATGAGGCTCTAGAAAAATACAAAACACAAATAATTTCCCAGATAGCCACAGAGATGGTGAGAAAAGTGAAAGATATTATTAGAGACTTTAGAACAGAAACAGATTAAAAAAAAAAAAAAATAGGTGAGCTCAGGACCAAAATGGAAACCATGAATGCCCAGCATAGGAAAGAAAGAGAATCCATGAAACAGATTCAAACAGATATCCAGAAGATTAAAAACTCTACAGAAAGCATTTGCAGCAGGATGAATGAATGTAAGATAGAATTTCAGATAGAGAGGATAGGACTACAGTCAGTGACCATGAAAAGAGAGATCTATGAAAAACAGTAGGGGATCATGAGAAATCGATCCAACAACTCTTAGATGATGCAAAGAAGAATAATATAATACTGATAGGAATCCATGAAGTAGCAGGAGAAAGCACAAATGATATTAAAAAAAACACAACCTGTTCACAGAATTAATGACAGAAAACTTCCCAAACAAAGCAAAAGAATTTGACATACAGATAAGTGAGGCATATAGGACTCCAACCAGCCATGATTAAAAAAAAAAAAAATCTACACCTAGACATATAATAATCAAGATCTTAGAAACCCAACAGAAGAACAAACTACTACAAGCAGTTAGAGAAAAGAAACAAATCACATGCAAAGGAAAGCCCATCAGAATCACAGCAGACTTTTCAACACAAACCCTCAAGTCAAGGAGAGCCTGGAGTGAGGTATTTCAAGTCCTAAAAGAAAACAACCTCCAACCTAGACTGATGTATCCTGCAAAACTATCTTTCAAAATTGATGGTGAAATAAGATACTTCCATGACAAAGAACACCTGAGAAACTTCATGAACACCAAACCAGCACTCCAAACACTTCTAAACAATATCCTGGAAAAAGAAAATTAAGACCACAACACCATAAGGGCCAACAGAGCAAATATACCAGGCAATAAATTAAAGGGAGAGTGGGAAAAATAAAAGAACCAACAACAAGAAAATAAAATGAAAATAAAAGTCAATATATAACAGTTATAACCATCCATGTTAATGGCCTCAATTCACTAATCAAAAGAAACAGGCTAGCAGAATGGATTAAGAAGCAAAATCCAACAATATGCTATATACAAGAAACCCACTTAATCCAGAAAGAAATTTGTAGACTGAGAGGAAAAGGATGGAAAACAGTTCTTCATGTGACAAGAGCCCAGAAAAAAGCGGGGGTAGCTATCTGATTTGCAGACAGAACAGATGTCAAGCCAAAACTAATTAAGAGAAACAAAGAAGGCCACTACATCCTTGTAAAAGGAACAAGAGGAAGAAATGACAATCATAAATATATATGCACCAAATACTAATGCTCCCAAGTACACAAAACAAATATTAACGGAAATGAAAAACGAAATAAGCACTAATACAATATTGTAGCGGGAGACCTCAATACTCCACCGACACAGACAGGTCATCTAGACAAAAAAATCAACAACAAAATAACAGAACTGAACCAAGTCTTAAAACAAATGGACTTAGTAGATGTCTAGAGTGTTCCACCCTACAAAATCAGAATATACATTCTTTTCGGCTGCACATGGGTCATTCTCCAAAACAGACCACATGCTAGCTCACAGAACATGCTTAAATAAATGCAAAGGAATTGAAGTTATCCCCTTTATATTATCAGACCATAGTGCAATTACAGTGGAGATCAACAGACTAAGAAACTGCAAGAACTTCACAAACACATGGAAATTAAATAACAACCTGCTAAATAATCATTGGGTCATAGAGGAAACTAGGCAGTTTCTACAATTAGATGATAATGCCAACACAATATACAGGAATCTATGGGACACAGTGACAGCAGTTCTACAAGGGAAATATATAGCAGTAAATGCCCATACTAAGAAAACAGAGTGAGCTCAAATAACCTAATGCTTAACCTTAAGCTCCTAGAAAAAGAAAAGCAAGACAAATGGAAAGTTCATACAAGGGAGGAAATTACAAAGATCAGAGCAGAAATTAATGCAATGGAGACTAAGAGAACAATACAAAAAAATCAGTAAATCTGAAGAGTTGGCTTTTCAAAAGAATAAAATCAATAAACCCTTAGCCAACCTTATCAAAAAGAAACAAAAGGTTCAAAATTCATGCATTTAAGGAATGAAAAAGGTGAAGTCACAACAGATCCACCAGAAATCCAGAGGTTCGTTAATACCTACTTCAAAAATCTGTACTCTAATAAAATGGAAAAGACAGAAGAAATGGACAGATTCCTAGACACACATGAACTTCTAAAGTTGAACGAAGAAGACATAAAAAGTCTAAACACCACAATTACATTCAGTGAAATTGAAACTTTACCAACAAAGAAAAGCCCAGGCCTTGATGATGGCATCACTGCTGAATTCTATAAGACATTCAAAGAAGAACTATCACCATTACTCTTTAAGCTCTTCAATGAAATTGAAAGGGAAGCAATACTTCCAAATTCATTCCTGGAAGCAAGTGTAGAGTTACTTTGATTCCAAAACCAGGGAAAGACTCAACCAAAAAAAAAAAAAACAAAAACAAAAAAAAACAAAAAAACTATAGGCCAATCTCCCTAATGAACATAGATGTAAAAATCTTCAATAAGACACTGGCAAACAAATTACAGAGATCATCAATAAATCATACACCCTTACCAAGTTGCATTTATCCCAGGGATGGAAGGATGGTTAAACATGCATAAATCAATAAATGTAATACAGTATATTAACAGAATTAAGGACAAAAACCACATGATCATCTCAACAGATGCAGAAAAAGCATTTGACAAAATTCAACACACATTCATGATAAAAACCGTACAGAAAATTGGATTAGATGGTCTTTATCTCAACCTGATAAAGGCTATCTATGAAAACCCAACAGCCAATATCATTCTAAATCATCAAAAACTAAAAATCTTCATGCTAAAATCAGGAACAAGACAAGGATGTCCACTATCACCACTCCTGTTCAACAGTTATAGAAACATTAGCCACAGCAATTAGACAAGAGAAAGAAATAAAAGGAATAAAGATAGGAAAGGAAGAAGTTAAACTGTAACTATTTGCTCATGATATGATACTCTACAGAGAAGATCCAAAAACTCTGCCAAAAGACAGCTAGACTTAACTGACAGGCTCAGTAGAGTAGCTGGATACAAAGTCAACACTCAAAAATCAATAGCCTTCTTGGACACAAATAACAGACATACTGAGAGAGAGATATTAGGGAAACAATTCCTTTCACAACAGCATCCAAAACCATGAAATATCTAGGAATCAATCTAAGGAAAGACCTCTACACTGATAATTACAGCACTCTGAAAAAAAAGAGATAGGAGAGGATATAAGAAGATGGAAAGACATCCCTTACTCCTTGATAGGAAGAATCAACAGAGTGAAAATGGCCATACTTCCAAAACTTCTATACAGATTCAATGCAATCTCTACTGAAATCCCAGTATATTTCACTTGAGAAAACAATCCAAAAATTCATTTGGAACCAGGAGACCTAGAATAGCAAAAACCATACTAGGCAACAGACACATGGCAGGGGGTATCATAACCCCCAACTTGAAACTATACCACAAAGCCACTGTGATAAAAACAGTATGGTACTGGCAAAGAAACAGACCTGAGGATTAATAGAATAGATTAGAAGATGCAGAAACAACATTAGACATATTCAGCTACCTCATCCTTGACAAAGGACCCATCATCCTTACTGGAGGAAAGACAGCCTCGTTAATAAATGTTGGAAAAACTGGCTTTCAACTTGCCAAAAATTAAAACTAGATCCCTCTCTTTCACCATGCACTAAACTAAAATCCAAGTGGATTAAAGATCTAAATATCAAAATAGAAACCCTAAACTTAACTGGAAAGTAAATTAGGTAGAACTCTTGAAGACATTGGCATAGGAGAAGACTTTATGAACAAATCCTCATCAGCACAAGAACTCACACAAAGAATAAACAACTGGGATCTCATTGTATTAAAAAGTTTTTGCAGTGCAAGAGAAATCACCAAAAGAGCTAAGAGACAACCTATAATGTGGTAACAAATTTTTACCAGCTACTCCTCAAAGGACTACTATCTAGAATATATAAAGAACTCAAAAGAATCAGACCCTCCCCAATACAAAGACCCAATTCAAAAATGGGTATTTGAAATGAACAGACATTTCTCAGACAAAGAAGTAAAAGCAGCAAATAAATATATGAAAAAATGTTCAGCATCACTGGTCATTCAAGAGATGCAGATGAAAGCAACACTGAGATTCCACCTCATCCCACAAAGAATGGCTGCTATCAAGAAATCAACCAATAACAAATGCTGGCGGGGCTGTGGGGAGAAAGGAACCCTTCTCCATTGTTGATGGGAGTGCAGACTGGTAAAACCACTGTGGAAATCAATATGGAGATATCTCAAAGAACTAGGATTAGAGGTTCCATTTGGCCCAGCTATCCCTGTGCTGGGTATCTGTCCAAAAGCATTAAAAGAATCATATCACAGTGTTATACGTGCAACCGTGTTTATAGCGGCACAGTTTGTAATAACTAAAACTTGGAAACAAACCAAATGCCCATCATCTGGAGACCGGATTAAAGAAGATGTGGTTTTTCTATAAAATGGAATACTATTCAGCCATAAAGAATGTGAAACTAGAAACATTTAGAGCTAAATGGATGCACATTGAGGCGATACTCTGGAGAAAATAGGACACATTTGAGTAAATATCGAAAGTTTCTCTGGTGTGAAAAACTAAAAGTGTAAATAAGGTTCAAATAGTACAACTGGGAGTGTAAAATAGGAAGAAAATAGCTAAAGGGTAAGTGGGAAGGGGAGGAGAAAGGAAATAAGGGAAAAGAAAATATGTGAAAAAAATGGAAACAAAGTCTTTGCAAATAGGAAAGGGTGAAGTGGGTGAAGGGAGGGCAGAGGTATGGGGGAATAAACAAGAGCCAAGATATATCATGTAAAAGTACAAGATCCCAATGATAAATGTAACTGTATTTTTTGCTTTGAATATACCAATAAACTTAATGGAAGAAAAAAAAAAAAGTAATGGGAGGAATTTTTTGGAATCTTTGGGTTTCAGCTCCCCCAAAGGCCAGAGTTGTCACCTACTGGGACTAGGGAGAAAGGAGGGCTGGATACTGGACATATGGAGGTCATGAGGACCAGGTCTGCATCCAGCAGTCCATATGGTCAGATCCATGCATGCGTAGTCAGGTGCATGGGGCTGCAGGGGCTACTCCCCTGCGTGTGTGGCCAGGAACAGGGAATAGGACCAGGCTCCTGGGTACTCTTCAGGGTAGGGGATAATAACAGGAGCCTGAGGGGTATCAACACAGGCAGGGAAGGTTTATCCAAAGGGAAGCAGGGAGACAGTGGACAAGGTGACCAGGAGGCCACATGAGGACCAGGATGCCTCTCCCCAGCATACCTAGGCAAGCTTGAGTGCAGGCAGCTTGAGGACACCTCAAGGCCTGCCAAGCTCCAGCACTTGTACCATGTCCACAAGATGACACCTAGTCATCAGTGGGGCAGCAGCACACAGCACATTCGCTTAGACACACGTGACCAGGTACTGGAATACAGTCATGAGGAAAGGTGGCTGGCTGCAAACCCTTCACAGGGACCAGGGCAGCTAAGCTGAGTGCAGGCTGCATGTTCCTCAGAGTGCCACAGTAACACCTCTGCCAAATGAATCCGGGCCTTTCTACAAAGTCATGCAACTCCTCACACTTGGCCTGTGTCTAGCTTTGCAGGACACTCTGAGTGGTCACAGTCAGCTTCAATCTGACGTGTTTTGGCTTTCACAGGAAAGTCTCTTGGTAACTGGTGGGTATACCTTGCTAGCACAGAACTGTGCAGCTGAGCAGATGTCACAGCTGGGCACACACTGGGTGGCTCTGGGCAGTGCTAGCACCTCATCTCTGTGAGACTCCCTTTGGGGAGAAACAGTACCCAGGATAGAGCAGCTACCCACCAATGTTCACTGTAATTTTTAAATTATTTTAGGCAGAATCTTGGGAAAGTGTATCTTTCATACAAGTTGTTTTTCAACATCAGATATATGATTTCACAAGCAGTAGAATCAGAAAAGTTCCATTTTTTCCACATGGGAAATGCTATAAAGAGCCAAAATGCAGACTCCCCAATGTGAGCCCAGCCTGCCTCTCTCCTCCCCACCTGTACCAGCCCCCCTGCAGGAAGAAGCATCCTGTGCCCACCTGTACCACAGTGATGCTGAGGCGGCCCACAGTGCCCACTGCGCCTCCATATTGCAGCTGCTGTGCTGCCTGGGCATCCAGCTGGACTTGCTGCTGCTGCTGAGTGGGCGTGATGCGGAGGAAATCCTGTGGCAGCTCACCAATGTACACCTACAGGCAGAGAGGGGGCATGGTCAGTGGCCAGAGTCAGGGCAGGGACCAGCTGGCCCCTACCCCAATTTCTGATCAAGCCTAGACTGTACCCTGCCTCAGTCTCTCCACCTACACATGAGGGCCAGGGTACAAGGGGTTCTATCTAACCCTCCCTAGGGCTTTTCTGCCCCAAGACAAGCCAGAGCCCTGGCAAGGGTGGAAACACATTTCAGTCCCTAAAACCAGGCTCCTATGCTCAAACAAGATTTGCTGGGTGGTGTCCAGGGCACACATTCCATGTCTGTGTCCATATTTTTTTTTTCTTGGACCACAACTAAATGCAAAGCCTGTGAACTTCAACATCACTGGGTTGAACACATAAATGAGATGAACTTGGAACCCTGGAACCAAGTTACTTGGAAAAACCTTTGTCTTATAAACAAGTATTTCCATCTGAAACAGTTCAAATGCGATTCTGGAAGAAAATAAGGAGCATATTTGCTCAGAAGGCCTCACCATTCTGCTGTCTTTCACTTACCCCTGCTGACTGGCTTGCCTGACAATGAGGGTCCTCAAGGACATGCCTTGGAGCTGAAGCTTTGGGAGAAACCAGAAGGCCTCCGAAAAAAGGAAGTCATCCAGAAAAACAGGAGGAAACAAATGCAAGGGTTTACAGCAATTCCTAGACTCCCTGGCCAACGCTCATGCCCTGGAGCTCAGCAGAGGACCACAGGGCATGTGGACTCCCACAGAGCGAGGCCCAGGGATACACCTATAAGTAAGGTACCCAGTGGCTCCACAGCAAGACGGCAGTCAGAAACAGCCCACTTTCCTGGGGCCAAGAGCCAGAAGCAGTGGAGGATGCCTCAGGGGTGAGCACAGGGCAATCTGTAGCTTCAGCAAGGCAGGGCAGCCAACAGTGCAATGACAGCTCCTCCTTGTATATAGTGTCTGGAAGGTCACAAGTAAGAATGCCTGTGATAGGCTGGGCATGTGGTGAGGCTGAGAAAGGAGGATCAGGATCGCTGGAGTTCAAGGCCAGCCTATGCTACATAGTGAGTTAAGGCCAGCCTGAACTGTATAGGAAGATCTTGTCTCAAAAAACAAACAAACAAAAAAGAATGTCTACAGTATCAAATGGCGAGGACCAAGCCCACTGGGCCCAAACCTCCCTGTGGGCACTAGGGCTGGTTGCTGGAGAAAGTCAAGCCCTCTGGTAGCCTGAGCCACCTGCCTGCAGCTCCCGCTGCCTGCAGGGTCCTAGAGAGGGAAACCAGTGCCTCAAATGTGAGCAAGACAAGGTGCATTGCTGAAAGAGGCCACAGGGGGGCTCCTCAGGGGGGAAGCACTTCTCAAGGATTCTGGGGCAGCCCCTTTGAAGGTCTGCCCCCACATCCTGGTGTTTCCAGAGCACACAGACCAATCACACCAGAGAGACGCTACCATGACTATCTCCACAGGAATGTGTCTGTGTGCAATCCTCCTCCCTGCTGGAGGAGCAGGTCCCACAGAAGAACAGTGGCACACCCTCGGCACCTCTGGAGTGCAAGCACAGGCAGGGACCCAGAGGGATCCCGGCCTCATGCAGTGCTCGTGCTTATAAGGCCCATGGTTGCCAGGACAGCCCCAGCTCCCCAAGGTGCCCTGCAGCCTCTCCTAGGGCCATGCTTCCTGAGATGCAGCTCACAGGTTGCCAGCCAGCAGAGCCCTGACATAACAAGTTCCAGTTCACAAGTGCTGGCACATGAGAAATGTTAGACCCTTCCAAAGGGACCAATGGCCCAATAGTCCAGGACAACCTGTCTTCGAGCTCAATCAAGGCCTGTAGTTTTCAGCCTCCAGGCACCACCACCAGCCTTGTCTGCACGCCATCAATGGATTATTTTATTGGTACCGGGGATCAAACTTGGGGGTCAATGGATTATTTTACAGAGACTCACAACAACCAAAGTTCTCAGGATTAATGTAAATAGGCCAAATTGTCACTTACCTGAGACACAACTGTCTACCCAGGGATGTAGCGGGGAAGGCCTGCACCTTAGGGACACCACAGGGTGAGCAGCCAGACCAGCAGGTGCCCTGATGACAGGTCAGGGTATGGATGGTCACAGGGCTTGCAGTAGACATAGGGTCAGGAAAGGCCACTTGGAGGAGCTTTTCCTTCACTCTTTATTTCTCCTCTGTCCCATTCTTGGGAGTAGGGCCTCTAGGCATCAGGGGTCCTTTCTATTATATTCCTCCAGTTTCCACTGGAGAGTAGGAGCATTTTTTTTAATGGGGGAAAATGCATCAAAAGATCAAACTGTTACTATTTTTCCACAAGGACTTATCCTAAAATTACAAACAGGAAAGGAGGGTTTTAAAAATATGAGTTAAACAGTGTGACTGGAAAAGAAAGGGCAGAAAAGTAAACTGAGGAGGAAGCTGATCAACACTGGTCAGGCCATCCCCCAAGTCAGCACCAGGGCACTCAGACCAGTGAGTCTCCTCCAACCCATGATCCTGAAAAACCAGGGGAGTATGAAAGACAGTCCGACTTGGGGAGACACGCTGGTCAAAGGCAAAGTGGGGTGTCAAGGGGGTGCTGTAATAGTAATGGGGAATAAGCTGAATAAGGAGCTAACAGGAGTAAAGTCAGCTTCATGGCTGCTGGCAGGGGGACCAATGACATTAGGAGAACTAGATGAGGCATACAAAACACTCTGTGCCATCTCTGCAGCTTCCCTTTAAATATAAAATTATTCCCAAGTCAGAAGCTTATTAGGAAAAATTTCAACTTACCCTAATGAGGGAGAGGGGCGGGGAAGGAGAAGGGAAGGGGAGGGGAGAAACTTCAGCCCTCACCAAACAGCAGATTATGCAATGCACTGAAAGATGAGTTGCCTGTTGTGGCAAGTCCTTGACGAGTTCTCAATTTAGACTGAATTCATCCAAATGAGGACACATTTTTACACATTCAAAGCCACCACTGATAAAGTTAATGCTTCCTAGATATGGGTGAGGAGACCAGGCACTGACCCAAATCCTCTCATGTCAGCAACAGCAGTGGAAGACGTCATCAGTAAATGTGTACTATTACAGTATTTTTAAAATTCAGTGCTAATCCTGAAATATATTTTTGCCATTTTATAAGGAGGGGAGGAATGTTTAAATGGCCACATAAAAATACATGCTTTATCCTGGTTCACAACCATCCTTTTATCCTTGGGAACCTAAAAAGAAAATGATTCATCTAGATAAAGGATATGTAATACATTTTTTAAACTGCAGTTTTGCTTAAAGGTAAACATGAACATAGTGGGGCCAGGGATTTAGCTCAGTGGTTCTGCTGCCTGCCTCGCAAGCACAAGGGCCCGAGTTCAATCCCCAGTACCAAAAACAACAATAAAAAGAAAACAAAAACATGAACATAGTGAGCCCAAAACTAGCAAATAACTTAAAGCCCCTGTGTAGAACCAACAACCCCTTCTCCCAGCACCAGTGCATGGGAACGTGCGGATGTGAGCACTGATATGCTCCACCTCACCATAGGAAAAGGATGGCGTCCAAGGGGCACCAGCCCCCTACCCAGAAGTATTTACAGTATCCGCAGGACAAAGGCTTGCACAGCCTCAACAAGGAGCCAAGTGTTCCTGTGCCTGCCCCCCAAATGATCCCAGGAGACACCCAGGACTCTCAGTGGAGAGAGGTATGCTGAGCCTCGTGCCCGGCCCTGCCTGGTTCCTGACCACAGCTGAGGGCAGGGAGAGTGAGGGAGGAAGTGAGCCTGAGAGACTTTAATCCTGGTGTCCCGGGAGGGCAGAGCCCACGGAACTTCCTGGTGAATCAAAAGGCTTTTGACTTGAGCAACAGGAAGGAACTACCTGCCTATGTGTCTGGGACAATACAGGGGAAGGCTGCTGACAATCCAGGGTCTAGAGTTCAGGAAAGACATGAGAGGGGACAGTCATTGTCACCTGGGGTGAGGCTGTGGCACCAGTGAAATCCTGGAGGATGAGGAAGAAACCTGCCAAGGAGAACCAGCAGGCAGTGCTGCAGTGACGTGTCCCGGCTAAGCCGGATGGGGGCTGCCGCCCTGGGGCCAACGGCTAGGACAGCTTCAGGGCAGAGCTCACTGCGGTCTTTGAGCACCATATGAGCTGCCGCTGTCCCTCCCCACTCCCTCACAGCCAGCCAACCCACTTCCCTGCTTCTGGAGGGTCCCCAGAACCCACACAACCAACCTGCCCACAGCTTCCCTCGTCCAGATGGTGTCAGAGCAAAGTCAGTACAGGGATCTGGCCACAAAATGGCCACTGAAAAATGAGAACTGACTCCTGGGGACCCCGCAGCTCACAAGCTTAGTCCATTTCCCAGGGCCCATGTGGTCTTGGCCCATCCCCACAGGAGGCCACAGAGAAAGGTTTTGAGAATGGCAACCTGCCCGAGGCTAGAGAGCTGTCACTGCACTTAGTCTCAGATTTTTACCTGAAAAACTCAATGGTGACTTGGAAAACACAGTGGCTTGGAAGAGAGACCAGAAGTAGATTCAGAGACAGGAAGCTGGAAGGTAGAGGGCAGACCTCCCAGAACCCCACACACAGCACCTAACACCCCACACAGAGAGCTCCTGGGCTGGGAGAAGGTCATCTGCAGCACGGCTGGCCTGTCTTTGCACCAACTGAGGAGGCAAATGAGATGCTTGACCCCAGATCATAACTACATGCTAAAATGTCCAGAAATACACTACCGATTTTCCAAATAAGGGGGGAATTTCTAGTGAATTGAATTTGTGTGTATATGTGAATTGAATTTTTAAAACCTATGCTTAAAAAAATCCAAAAGAAGGCAAGGAGTGAAAAAGGAACAAGTACTGAAAAAAAAAAAGCACAAAAGTGTTAAAAATGTGTGTGTGCTTGTGTTTGTATAACCATAAAAATAAGACAAAAATGTTCCAGTGAGACTTG